GAAACAACCGAAACACCAGGGGTATGATGTAAAGTGAGGAATAGGCTACAATTAGTTAACGTTCTCATTTCTTTAGTGAAGGGATACAAGCTCTTAAAAAGAAAAACAAGCAAACAAAACACTCCAAAAATCCAGAAGGCTTTGAAAAGTGAAGAAATAGCATGCAGTTTAAATCTCAATGCACAAACACACATGCACATGTATACCTGTGTACAGGCACAGGTACATGCACAGATCACAGATTTCTTGTTTTAGAAACACTGTCTGCAATTCAAAATTGAATTTGATGAAAATAAGGGGGGAAAACTTTATCACCTTCATAATCGTTCTCATTAATGCCGTAAAATGTAGCATTTATAGACAACATCTACTCTGGTCTTAACGATAGCTTGTCAATATTCAGGTTTTGTACCTTACCTTTTCAAATGTTCATTTGCCTTATGAGGACTAAGATGATGCCTCCCTTCTCTGGTTGTAATATTAATATTTTCACTAGAAGAAAAGACTGTCCTGCTTACTCCCTTTCCTCATTTTCGGTTGAAACTAGTACTGCTCAAATCTGGAATGAGATACAATGAGAAATGGAGAAGAAACCTAAGTTTTTGTTAAAGTTCAGCATACTAGTTAAACATCCTTTAAACCACCTGCAAAGGAAAAGCGCATAAGTAAAATGACACCGAAAACAACAGGTTTAGCCCTGCTGAGCTGCAAAGCTGGATAATCATCTTTGTTATGTCTTGGTTATCTCAGTAAATCAAATTCTAGGCAGCATCAAAATGTTATGATATACCACATGTAAAAGCTTGCAATAGAAACAGGAAAAAATAGATCTATCAAGTAATAGAACAATAAATGAAAATTTGCATTCAGTGTTCTGGGGGCTTTCTCCCTGCGTGTTTCATGCAGTGGAAGGAACCCAAGCCAGCCATGCCGAAGCTCAGGAGTTCCCTCAAGCACGAGCTGGGGCACCAACGCGCCCGCCCCCGTCGCCGCCTGCACGCGGAGCAGCGGGAGAGGCGCCGTCACCCGCGCCAAGCCGCAGCCACGGGGGCTCGCGGGACACGGGGGCTCCAGTGTGCTCAGGGCACGCGGCTGGGCCGCCGCGAGCTGGGGGCTTTCCTGCCTTGGGACTTCCCATGTCCCACGCAGAATCTCTGAGGAGAAGTCTGCGTGCACGTGGGACCGCACTGAGGGGCTCGGTGTATCTCCCCCTGCAGCTCTTGGGGCCGCGCTGCCCGGCAGGACACGGGTCCTCCCCGGGGCGCCCCTGCTGCTGTGCAGACATGCAGGGGGGAGAGCTGCAAGAGGGGGCTGCACCATAGGGCAGGGAGCCTCTCTCCTGCCAGCCCATTCCTTGATGCTGGTAGCACTGATCAGGGACACCCTTGGGGTAGAAAATTCTCATGAGCTCCAGCATCTGGATGAAAACTCAAGGGATGCTGCAGCCTGGGGGAACGAGATGTGCAAGGTGGCCTGCAAGGCACATGAAAGACCATGCATGATCTGCAGGCAGACACACAAATGATACAATTGACACGTCTATAACACCAGCAAAGAAAAACAAATGTCAGCTTTCAAGTGAATGTTGAACTGTGAAATGGGTGCGAGCGGCTGGTTAGCCTGTGTAATTTAGAATATATTTACAGGGCTTCCCACTTCCTCTCCCTTCACAGCCCGCCTGCACAAAGGCGGCAGCGAGGCTCAAGTCCTCTTCTGGGACAGGCAGCAATGCTGAAAATCACTGAGAGGATGTGGTAAAACAAGAGGTGTGCTCTGAGTGCAAAGGCTGGGAATATAAATAGCAAATGGCTGTACCGGGAAAGAAAGAAAGAAAAAAAATAGAAACATTTAACACGAAACACTGAGAATGGGAAATAATCCAAGCTATCTTTCTGGTCCAATTAACAGATATTAAACAAGGGAGTTCTAGGCTCCAGCATTTTTTTTAATTATCTGAATGATCACTTGGTTAATGTTAAAAAAAGGAGAGAATGAATTTTTTCCTCGCTGTTCTAGCAGTTGAAGAGGTTTTTGGGAGCACTGGTTAAATGCACAGCTCACACTGGCTTTCCCCAGACGCTCAGAGAGCTCCAAGTCCAATTATCCATCTCCAGACGGCAAACACCAAGCGCAGGGACAAACCCAGGCCACTTGGCAGGTCGGTGCTCTGTGTGCCCGGCGCAGGGTACCGCACACTGCTGCCGCAGCCAAGGCTGGGTCTGCGCCAACAAGCCGGCCCAGACGTGCTGGCTGCAGGCAATATTTCACTAGGTATCCAGCTTGCCTTACCTCTTTCTTTCCATACCATCAGCCCTCTGGGTGCAGTGGGGGCTGCCGAGGTGCTCTGATGACACCACTGTCACTGCTGGACAATGTAACAGCGGGAACTTGAACCTGCAGGCATAATTACTGCTTTAGCGCAAGATTCATAGCTATTTTTATTTTAATACAAGCAAACATGCTTATTTAATTATGAAGGGACACAACACATGGGAGACCTTCAACCTAGACACATCCCACATGCCCTCCTATGCACAGGGCAGCTCTCAGACCTCAATAGAAGGAGACTCTGCCTTTACTCTTCAGTATCTTTAAAGCTGGGTTCACCTTAGGTAAGGATCAACCAGAGGAGCAACACGTGGGTTTTTATTTCTTCCCCAGTAAAATAATGAGGACAACCTGAGGGTTGCTCAGAGCCCAGCTGCAGACAGAGGAGAGCGTGTGCTCCACTTCCACCTGCACTAGAAATACCTAATTTAGAGCATTTCTGCCAGCTGCGCAGCCAAGAGCAGGGAGATCCCTGCAGGGTCTCTCATCCCTCATCTGACTTCATTTACTGGCTCTGCGGGTTAGTTTGGAGGGAGCTGGGGCTGATCCCCTTTCCCGTCAGCGGGAAGGGCCAGGAAAGGCTGCGAGCAATTCCGGCGGCCAAGGCAGCCAGATGAAAGGACAACTTGCTGTGAGGGAAAGGGGCTCGTCTTTGAAAAACCTGCTTTTTACCCCCCTCCCTCCGCAAATACTTCTCCCCCCTGCCAGTTGTCACCTCAGCTTCTCTCCTCTAATTAAAGCACTCTAGAGCTCGCTCCGACTCCGAGAGGAAGCCGGCGAGTGCAGCACATCTCATTAGCTCGCCTGATGGAGTAGGAGTCTGCGTGGCCAGGCGGTGCCTTAACCCGCTTTATTGTAATGAATTATCCACAGAGCAGAGTGTGCAGAGGCGCCACGTCACAAGGGTCTGAGATCACCCACCTCACCCTCCGGCCTGGGGACGAGCCCTGCGCGCGGCCCTGCACGGAGCCTCACCAAGGTGCAGGGGCACCGCCTGGATCGGCGCTCGTCCGCGCAGCGGGGCCGCTCCCTGGTACCTGGCTGGTGCCGCGAAGGTGCACGTGGGCAGCCCCTATCGAGGCTTCCTTCCACACGCACCAGCTACAGGGAAAATGAAAAAAAAAAAAAAAAAGGGCATTGAAATATGTGAAATCAGGCAGCTGCAGCTCCGCTGAGCTGCTTAGGAAATACATGCATTTTTGAGCAATGGAAGGTGCTATAACCTGTTCAACGGTGGATTTTTTCCTTAAAAAAATCATATATTCTTCTGTGAAATATTACAATTAACAGATTGTAAATATGAACATTTACAGCAACACTAAGATCAGTGTAACCTCATAACAACATTGAGAACTGCTCAGAAAATCAAGGGCCATGATCCCTGCTGTTTTGCCTGTGCCCTGAAACTGAACTGCAGCTCAATCTGCCAGCTGTTTGGTGGCATTTCTTGCAGCACAGAGACTTACCTGACACGGCCCATTGTGCCTTAGATATACTTTTGATGTCTGAGATCAATCTGATAAAAAAATAAATAAGAGGCAGAAATATTAAGTAATTATTGCTTTAAGGTGCTAAGCCTGAGTTTTCTGCAGAGTGCTTCATTTCTTAACTTTCATTTTCCACTTCTGCTTCCTGTTGCTAGTCAGGTATAATGCAAGATAACTGTATAGCAAATGTATGGAAATGGTAGCTGCAGTGCAAAAAAGAAAAGAAAAAAGTAAAAAAAATAGGTATATCTGAGGTTCAAGTGATCCCTGGTCCTTACACTGCAAGAAGAACTTGCAATAAACATGTTTTACTCTTGCCAAGAAGTCTTTTAAAAATCCATTTTAATTATGAATCTTGTAATGTTCCTCTCGTGCTCCTGTGCCTAAAGGGCACTTTGACGGGGAAACTCCGTTTTTCCAAGCACTGGCAGCAGGCGCTGCTCGTTCTGGATGCAGCTCACCGCACACGCTCTCCCTCCGGGAAGCCGGGCTCTCCCCTGCAGCCATGCTCCCACATTCCACCATGGTGAACGCCCGCCTGTGTCGAAAGCAGGACCTCGAGCAACACACGTGCCCTGCCTGGGGCTGGACGTCAGCGCTGCGCGCCGCGGCGCTCGTCTCGCTGCGGCCGAGGGGCACCTTCCCAAACAAGGCACCCCGAGCACCTAAACTCAAGTCCTCCATTAATTAATTGCCAATTGAGATATTTTAAATAAAAATCCCCAATGAACAACTTTGAGAAGTAACGGGAAACAGCAGTCTGCAATCAGTTCACTGTATGCAGTCATGACTCCTTGATGGCCATCTGAGCCTGATCCTTCACATTCATGGGAAGTTTCATCAAAGTAAAATTCTGAGAAACAACAATTTTTGTTATCACTTGCTCTGAGAAGATTAGCTAAAGTCCACTCCAGCAACAGGACTTTAAAAATACACATATTTCTCAATGGCACTATAAGCCATTTAAAGTGTTACTGCCTCCTTTCCCCAACGTGCCGATTAGACACTTGAGCTCTCGGGTGACCCTGAGGAGGAGACAATGTCACCTGGAGCCTCCCGGAGGAGTTTCTCCTGATGACACTGGCAGCAGCGGCCGGGGCGGAGCAGGCTGGAAGCAGCAGCAGGATCCGGAGAGCAGAGCACGCGGAGGAGCCCGGCAGCTCCCGCTACGCTGCTGGAACCAGCATGACCAGCCAGTCGCAAGGAATCCAGCAGCTTTTGCAGGCAGAGAAACGGGCCAAGGACAAACTGGAAGAAGCCAAAAAAAGTAAGTATCTGGGCTGGTTTATATTGTGTTTTTCTACTGTAAACTCTCTAGAAAAACAAACTGTGTTTCAGTTTTTCATGTCTTATACAAAATTTTCAGTGTTCTTCCGGTAAAAACTAGCAGTTTACCTTTGAATGTCATTTGGTCTTCAACAAAAGTATATGTGAGCAAATGCAGACCTCAGGACAGTGGTAATTACTGAAAGTCACAGTCACAAGAATTGCCGCTACTGTGATAGGTTGTACCTATGAGATTGGCTTGGCACAGGCAATCAGCAAGTGATTAAATGTTCAGTTTAAAACAAACTCTCATTTGCTGAATGCCTAAATGCCCAAGGTAAAGCATGTGTAAATATACAAGAATAATAAATTAAAACAATTTTATTCCAGTCAACTATAAGCAAAAAGTAACAGAAACAAATATAAAAATCAAGGCAATAGCCAAAAAAAAGTTCCAGCTGAATCTGCTAGTAGTTTAATTAAATAATGTGAATAATGTAAATAAAATCATCCCAGTGATTTAATGCAAGAAACTTTGGTGACCATATTCCCCTGAACTAGGCATGAACCACACGAGTCACTGGGCTGCATTTGCAGGGGAACATTAATATTGCTTCACAGAGTGATGGTGATTTAGATGGCAGCAGCAGGGAAACTTGGTGTCGTCCTACAGACCTCACACAAAATACGTGAAGGTGATGCCATGTGCAGCAAGAGAGCGCCATGAAGAAATGTATTTTGTTTTCCAGGGAGAAGTAGAAGCTAAACAAAAATAATTTGTGTAGCCCCCATATCCCTTCTACACACAAATCAGCATCACGACATACTCATTAATTATTAGCATGATATATTAACTTGTGCAGCGCACATGGAAAAAGGCAACCACCCTTCTCCAAGCACCGAGCCACCATGCCTGGCAGCCAGGAGAGGTGTCTTGGTGGCACTGCCTTTCCCTGCTCATTTGGGGCAGTGGCAATGTGCTGTCCCCAGGACAAGAAGTGAGAAAATACAATCTGGGCAGGCAGTATCCAGCCCAAAATGGGGAGGAGGACGAGGGTCTGGTCTGCAGAGCCTGGGCTGGAGCCACCAGAGCTTGGTGGTGACTGCTCCCCGTGCTTTGGAGACTTTTCAATTTGTTCTTTAATAGCCAGTTGTAAAGAAGCTTGCTAAATTAAGAACACCCCCAAAACAATAGATACAACTATATATGTAAAAGTAATGGCAGAAGATGAGTGTGTTTCTAAGTCCAAGTATGGGGTTACAGAGGTATTTACTCTGCACAAAAACTCACTCTTCAGTCATCACCTCAGGCCTAAACACGACACTTGTGATGAGCTCCTTATAAAGACAGTATTTTCCAAACCCTTCTGAACCAAAAACCTGAATTAAACCCCTGCCTACACCCACCAGGGCTGCCACGCTGAGGTAAGCAGCATTCAGCAGCTACAGAAGCCAGGTATCAGTAAATAAAACAGAAATATCACGTTAGTATGAGTTCCTTCTCTGTTACTTTTATGACTAAAGATGTTTTTCTCCTTTAGAAAAATGAAGTAAACAATATATATATTCCTGATAGATACCTAGAAAACAAATACCTGTGAGTAAAGAAATGGAGCCAGACTCCTCTCAGTTCGCAGTGAGGTCAAGGCAAAGGGCACAAACTGAAATAAAAAAAATTCCATTTAAGGTAAAGAAAAAATGTATACCAAGGTAATCTGTATTATACTCAAAGTTACAAGAGTTTTTCAGTGAGCACACACAAAAAAAGAAAAAAAGAAAAAAGGGAGATTTTGTTTATAGCATTTCTCCAAATTGTACAAGTACCGTATTAAGAACTTTTGTTAGTATAATTGCCCCTGCTCCCATATGCCAAGCAGACATTATTATATTGACAGACGTTTTCCATGTCTGTCCTTAACTTCAATGCTTTTCATAGCAGCGTCACTGAAGCCACTTTACGTACCAGCATAGTGCAAGCAGCGTGGGACAAGGCAAACAGGATGCTTTTTCAGGGCCAAATCCTGTTCTGCCGATTGAGAACAACTCCAAGTCTTTTAACCAGAGTTATTCTGCATTTCAATCATCATACAGGACTGCACAGTAGGTCCTTAATTAAATGCAAAAAGTAAAACAAAAGCAAATACCTGAAATGCAATCAAGCACTATATGCAATAGAGCTGGTTGCCCTATGCACACAGGATTTTGAGCAGCACGCCAGGAACAGGCTGCTTCACCAGCTCAGGGCCGATCAGCACCGGTTCAGATCAGCAGGTTCTGCTCAGAACCCGGGGATCTCCTGGTCTTGGTTTCAGGTGAAAACAAGGACCTTGCCTGGGCCCTGCCTGTGCGTTCCCTTCCCTGTTGAACTGTAAATATGACCCCCTTTGCACAACTGTAAATATGACCCCCTTTGCACAACTGTAAATATGACCCCCTTTGCACAACAAGCAGCCTCTGCACGGCACTGCTGCACAGATGAGTCACACAGGCCTGTTTACATTTAAATATAAGAGGAATGAAAGGTAAATCATTGGCAGGACGTGACCCAGGCAAGTCATTCTCAAGGAAACGGGATTATCAAAACTACCCTCAAGCGAGACCCTTAGTCTTGTTCACAGATACTCACATAATCTGAAAACTTAGAATGGACACACACAATATTGTAAATGAGCAGATGACGGGCCCATTTTTTTCCTGACATATTCATAGCTCTTTGTAATGCAAAATCCACTTTTATCCTGAAAAAATGACAAATAAAATGCTATTTATGAACATGAAACAAAGCAAAAATACTTTGATAAAGCTCCTCTGTAAACATCATGGTCAAAACTCTTTGTCCTGCCTTGCAATATCTTTATTGCACCATTGGTTGATGTCAGTTATACTTGACACATTATTAATAGTTTTGGGAATGCACATTGGCAAGGCTGAAAGTAGCAAATTGATTAAAAATGAACCAAAACTGCCTGTGGTCCCCTATTCTCATACCCACTGCACTACTTTGGCTCTTTTTTCCTCAAGCATAACTGAGATCCCAGAAATAAATGGGCATTGTCAGAGCTAAAATGGCAATTTCTGAAAAAACTTCTGGGGAAAACAAATGTATGGTGAACACTGGATTTAGCAAAATTGGTTTCCTGTAGGTTTTCATGTCTCAGCTTCATTTCTAATGTCAAAATAAAGCTCAGAATAAAGCTTCCAGGAAATCAGGTTATAAAACAATCATTAACCAAAATAAAATATTATCAAACTTATATCCTTGGCTCTCTCTTGGATAATATCCAGGACTTTCTTACAGTGAAAAAGCTATATATACACCAACCAGCTGCTTCTACTGTACTTTTTGAGATTATTTTTTAACTTTAAAAAAAGGCTTTTACTTTTAACTTACTTTTACTTTTAACTTACTTTTAACTTTAAAAAAAATGCCATTCTGCAGGCAATTTAACAAAGACAATGGAAATGGTCCTACTTAGAGTAAAAATTGATTAATTTGGGGCAACTTCCATGAAGAAATTCAGCCTAGATTATATGTTTGAAAACCAAAATCCAGTTTTTAGCAAGACAACTTTTTGAAAGTAAGATAATATGGTGCTTCAGCAAATTAGAAGGCAACATTTTGAGAAATACTTGGTTTCTGCTATCTTTTTCTTGTAAGGTCTAAAATATTACCAGTAGCCTCCAAGAGTGAAAGGAGTGAACTAAAGCTGGTTCTCTACTATCACAGAAATACCCAGAAAGACAGCTATAACCTTTCCCTATGCTTATCCCTAATAATGCTTCCCCCTGTGGTTAGGTGAGATAAAAACCGACCACGGGGAAGATGGGGCAGGGTCAAGGCAGAGGTGCCCAACGTGCCCATGCGTGAAAAACATTCCCACCTTGCACCTTTCTGCACCTCCCTTCTCCAACCATCAACAAATGGGATCAGCAAGGCTTGGAAAAGGCAGTCCTCTCTCGCACGACCAAGGCAGCAGACGAGCGGTTCCTAACGGGCTGATTAATTAATTTTGGGGTGCCTCTGGTGAAACAGCAGGTTAGACTCTAGTTTCAGTTTAATCAGGTGCAGCATATGCACTATCGCATATGTTGGCAGTTGCTGATTCTGACCACAACGTTGTTGAACTCGCAGTAATTTACGCACAGCTTTTCCACTTAATTAAATAGGAAGCAGCAGGTTCCTGCTGTGTCAGTCCTAAAGGCATCACAGAGAAGTGAAATGGCTGCTGCCCTGTATATGTGCTTAATCCAGTGCACTTTCAAGAACTGCCACATACGCACACACACTTTCTTCTTTGCTTTGCTAGTTATGTTCTTGGGGACAGATGAACTGCTGTTTCCTAGAGTCTCGTTCTCTTGCATGCATTTTAAATGGATTTATTTATCTATCTGGTGGCCAAGGTATGCAACATATTTACTACAGATGGCCCCCCAGATGGAATTTGAAATTGAAATCCCACTGATTTTGAAATAATTTGATTTGCTATTGAGCTCCAGTTCCTCAGCTGGTGAAATTGGCAGCGCTTCCTCGCAGCCCGTTTCCACAGACCTGTGAAGACGTGCTCTGGAAAAGGCTGATGAGCCCCATTTTTGGGGATGGGGATGAGGGGAACTTCAAAGCACAGAGCTCAGCCTGGTTCTGACTTTTGTTGTCCAGATCGATGCTTTTACTTACTGGTCCCCAAGACTTAATACAGCCATAGAAGCTGATGTAATCAGCTCTTTCCATACAAAGGCAAACTTTGGAAAAGACCATGCAAGCTTTTAAAGAGCTTCTCTGTCCCTTTGTACATAATTACAGCTCCCTGGTGGCACATGGGCTCTGATAAGGGTAATTAGCTGTACAAGGAAGCTTTCTCCAGGTGGACTCAGAATCAGTAAATCTAACAAGGGCCCCAATATGTTGCTGCTCCATGCAGGAAACCTTTACACAGCCTCCCCTCAGCTCTCCTCACACCCCACAAGCAGCACAGCACTGAGTCACAGGGCCAGGAATCAGGGCCTGAACAGGAAACGTGTGCGTTCAGCACCTCTGCTTCTACTCACCAAATCACAGGCACTGGCTGCAGATGGGCCATCCACCGAGCAAGTATTTTATCACTGGATCAGGCCTTTCATCTAGGATTTGCTCGAATCACAGATGCATCAAAACCAAGGGTTTATCCTCACAGCACCCAGGTTCACTTTGGTGCCAACCCAGGGGAAGCCGATCACTACATGTCACACGTGACCAGGCTTCAGAAGTCCAGCACGAGTGGAGCCCATCCAGTGGAGCTGCCTGAGCGAGTAACTGAGAAAGAGCAACACTTGTCCTCTGGCTTAACTGGAGAACTGCAGGATTTCACAAGAGGTTTAACACTCCTACTTGAATTTTCTTTTTTAAATCTTCTCAAAGTGTTCACATAAGTCAACGATATCAAGCAGGTGGCTACAAACAAACAAACAAATAAATAAAATAAAAGGATATTTCATGCTTCAGACAAAGACGCCTTTTTGAGATGCCCATTCTTCATTGTTGTAGTCTTATGAAATCCTAATTTAAGTAACTAAACGAGTGTTTATTTCCAGAGGCCTTGCATCTGTTGAGAGAAGCGAGCAACCTTCACCTCTGCCACCCTTGAACTTCCAGCTGTACAGCAGAGAGGCCCATAAGAGAGATCAGCAGCAGCCGAGGAGTCTCAGATATAACATGTCAGCTTTAAAAGCAAGAGGCTGACAGCCCCATCAGTTAGAACAGGGCTCTTTCCTCAGAAACTGGTACAGCCAAGCGCTGCCAAGATCCACGGGCCCTTACCTGGTTCATATAAAACAGAAAGCAGAGGTGTCACCATCGCGTGGGTATGACACGTTCAGTACTTGCTTTGGCAAAAAACCTTAAGGACCACATTTCCTTCAAAGCTCTGCTGTTATCTGATCTCTAACACCCCTGGTAGATGCAGGAATACCATGAATTGTATGTGCAGTCCTGCAAGGCCTTACATGGGTTTCATTTTACAAACCCTTAGTATTTTGCAAAAGGCAAAGCAACTATTCCCAACGCACAAAATTAAGCATGTCAACAAGCCTTTTTTAGAAGAAAGCCTAAAATACCACTTAGTAGATCACCCTCCTACTCCAAACACTTGCACGGTTTTCTACACATTGTCAAAGAATACCTTTGACACCCTTTTTCTTTTATTCACTCACATTTAACAAATGCTAGAGGGGAAAAAAGGTGGGAGAGAAGACAACGAAGTGGGAAGGCTGCAGCTCAGTTCCTTGGTGGTTAAGATGCATCTTTGCAGCGTTTTGGAAATCTGCCAGCTCTAAATAGAATCCAGTTGGTGTGGGATGAAGGGATTTTGGCAACCAGTCAACACAGCAAATCTTACAGAATAAAGTCTTTTCCAATCAGTGACAACTAAAATCTGTTATCTGGCTGCTACTATTGCTGATGAAGAAAAGATAGATATTTATTTAAACACAAAGCTGTGACAAAAGAGAAAAAAAATACCAGTTGTGTTATGAGAATATGTCTAGTTGCAAAAAAAAAGACTTCTGTTATTAGCAAACCAACAAACTTTTGATTTTGATGTGTGCTTTCGCATAGGGAAGCAGAAAGGTGTCTACACAACCGGCCTCGAATCAGAGCGCGCTACCCACATCACTTGGCCTCTCCTGGCAATTCCCTGCAAATAAAACTGCTATTGACTGGGAAATGGAGAATTTATCTTCTGGGATAGTATTCCCTGTTTTCTTCTCTATGTCCAGGAAAGGGGAAGAGACTGAAGCAGGCCAAGGAAGAGGCTACAGCGGAGATAGACCACTACCGGCTGCAGAGGGAGAAGGAGTTCAGGCACAAGCAAAGCAGCGTAAGTAGGAAACCCCCGTGCCCCTGGGCAGCTCCACGTGCTCACTGCGAAGCAAATCGCTCCCAGTGGCACCGCTCTGGGTTTGAACATCACCCACATTGCCCAGCTTCTGGGTTGGGTTCACGTCTGTCCTTTGATGGTGCAGGAAAAACACCTTTGCGTTTGCTGGCTTCAATTTCAGACAGACCTCACCCTCCTCTTGAAACCAGAAGTAGAAATAAGGTTGATGTTTTGGTAGAAACAAAGATTCAAAACCTTTCTTCGGATTTCTGCTTTGCTTTTGCTGCAGCACTGCAGCTTTGATAAACCAAAATCATCCAAATTTGGGGAGTTTTCACTACACTTGCAAAGTAAAAATGGTCAGGTTGACATTTTCATACCTGAACTGTAGCTCATTTTATGTACTTACACTATCTTGCAGTTTTTTCTAGCATTTTCATGAAGGTTCATCACAAACTGCTCTTTTTTTCCCCGACAGTGACCTTCCTTTTCCATTTTTTGCTCCTATTTTTCTCCATGCTTGTATTGTGCAAAGCCAAGGGAAACTACATCTGCAAAAGCTGCAGCAAAACAAAAAAGCCAAAGAGGTCAAACAGAAACTGCTTTACAAAACTGTCTTTTCAGCCACAATTCCTATAAAACACCTTCCAGCAGAGATCATAGGCCTTAGGAACATATACACATGCAAAGTCCCTAGTAAGGAAAATCAGCCTCCAGACACAATGTCACACAGCAAGGCTAGGTGAACTTGTCTCATACATACAATTTTGGGTCATTACTAATGCTAAAATAAAAACACCTCTAAAATATGTTCACTTGTTCAGTTCAAGCATATATTACAGCTGAAGAGAAAAAAATTGTTTGCATGCCATAGTGTGAACTCCAATTTTCTCCTCCCAGACAAAAGCAGGGCTGCAGGAAAACGCCATTGCTTATTGACCAAAGAATTTGCACAGGAAGATCACTTATTGCTCCCCAAAAAACAACCCATGGCACAAGCCTTTTACAGCCCTGCTCCCACCTCGTGAATTGTTCACAACAGTTCAGAATAAGTGACAACAGCGAGAAAAAATGGCATTTGAGTGACAATTAGCAGAATAAGTTTTGCATGTTTTGAAAACACAAACCCAGAGCGAGAGGTAATTTTGCTAGTGGTCGTGGGGTCAACACCCAGGTTTGGGGATCGCTGCTCTTGGGAGAGGCCAAGCCTCGTTCCCAACGTTGTGTTCTTGAAGTCAGTGTAAAGTTGGTACAAAACCAGGATGGGCCTAAGAGAGAACAGGCCCTCGAGGTCAGCACAAATCATGGACCGAGGAGGGCATTTGCTCAGATTTTGACAAGAACAAGATCTAAAAATTCAGAAACAGAAAAGCAGAAAGAAAAAAAGTTCATAGAAGTATAAGAGTTGACTACCTCAAATTATTGTATTAGCATGAGTCATGCAAGCAGTTTCCCAATCTACAGAGGCTCTTTTTTAAAAAAATATAATGCTTTTTTGAATTTTTTCAGAAGTACTTAGTAGCTGGATAACACATAATTATCTGGGAACGCTAGAAAGTTATTTTCCCAGGTGGAATAACTCAGCTTCATAAATAAGGTCTAAACTGTACAATCCTTTCCCCACGAGGCCCTCCTGACTCATCTAAAAGCTAATATAAAATGCAAACTAAAAATAGCTACTACTCAAAGCTATAGTCTTTTCCCAGCATTTTCATGGGGGTGTCCACCCTCAATTTCTTCCAAATCAGAAATTGTTTTACATCAGGATTATGGACAGACATCTTACTACATTGCGAGGTACAGATCAACAGAATTTTGGCAGTGCCTTGTGCGGAAGAATTCAGCCTCTTTTCCTTCTTCTAAGGACTATGTTGAGGTAAAATCATGTCAAAAATAAAGTTCCTTTCCCTGTTTCTGGTGGTCATCTAGGTACTTGCTACCTAGATGTAATCTGCCCACTAGCTTCAGCTGGTTGTCCACTCGAGGAGCAGAAACAAACAGAATATGTTATTTATTGCTCTCATACTGCATCAGTATATGGAACAGGCACCTGCTGCGCCCCATGCAACTCTTGAGCTGGAAATAAAATTTTATCTCCAATCAGATGGACTTTTCCATCAGGGAGGAATTCAGAGAATATTGGGACAGTGGAGACAGGGGACCAAAGTCCTGGATTTGGAATACATGCATGTTCTTGTAACATAACCTTGCTGAAACGTTCAACTGGGCTCAAGTCAATTAAATTCTGAGCGAATGTCCCGGTATTAACGTGCCAGGAGCCGTCTGGTGTTTTGCCAGACAAGAAAATGCAAGATTAAAAGACCTTGTCTGAGGCCTGTGAAGCCTTAGACATCCCTAACTACTGAAGCCTTTTCAAACAGTCTGAAACTCTAATTACGTATTTTCAGGAAGGCTTTCCCATGTTTTGCTCCATAGCCCTGTTCATGCTCATTCTCAGGTAGGCCAAAGGAAGCATACCAGTGACAGAGTTTAGCTGACTAGTCATTAAAATAAAGCAGATTATAGCAATTGGTATAAAAGAGAAAGTGTGTAAAATGTTGTTCCCACAAGGAGCTGGGAAACTTGCATTACACAGGGAGATTCCAGTGCTAATGAGCATGTGGAAGAGCTCTCTCTAACCCTGTTTATTACGTGAGTGGTTTACTCTAGCTTGTACTCTTACCGTGCAAAAGGGCTGTGAAATGCCTGCGTAATGTTTATACTGGACGATAAAGAGAAATCCTTAGAGGCTATTTCAGGTACGATGAGCACAGAGTCACCTGGAAGCCTTCATTTTGCTCAGAGGACTTCTGCTTTGCAGGCAATGGGCTCCCAAGGCAACCTCTCCACTAAAATAGAAGAGCAAACAACAGAAGCGATCCAAAACCTCACTGGCAGCTACCACAAGAACATGGAGGGCGTGATGAAAAAGCTTTTGAACACGATATGTGACATCAGTCCTGAAATCCACCCAAACTTCAGATACGAAGTTTAAGATCCACTGATGTGCTGGGCAAGGGTGTTTGTAAGAAGCAGCCCCTTTTCTTGATGTCACCAGCGTTTCCGCCGTTATTGTTGCTGCACATGTGATACAGAAGAGCACTAAAGCCCAAAGCTTGTAGTTCCTCACTTTTTTTGATTATGCAAAAAATATTCAAGCATTTGTTAGAATGTACTTGTTTCCTGACAGTGGATAAGCCCCTGTCACTGACACAAGAGTGAGTCAACAACAGCAGAATAAATGATTGTTTGACACCAAGAGCTTTCTAGTCACTTTCATTATTTCTCTTCTGTGTAAAACGATCTGTACGAGATGTGATGTTGCATGAAATCTGCTTATCACAATCTTTACTGTATTTAAAGGCATGTGAAAGAGACTAATGCTACAAAAATAAAAACCAGAACATTTCTGTTGGGGATGCATCAAGTAGTCAGTTTGGAGAGTGCACAGGAACTCTGTAGCTTTTCATTAAACAGAGTAGACCAAAACATATCTGCAGTTTTTGTAGGATAATTTAAAGCAAAATTATCTAACTTGTAGAGATTTACGTGCAAATGCCATACCCCAAGTACTGCCCTGTTGTGTAAATACATCACAAGCTTTAGAAGGCCTTTTGAAGTCTAAAAATGAGTACAGAAGCAATTGTTATTTATGAAATTCTCTTAGTTTAAGGCATGCAGTAGCACATTTATCATTATCTGTATGTACAGTTACACTGAAAGCACAGGAATCCACGAGATTGGATTCATCCACAGAGATGAAGAATAAATTCTATGCTGTATATGAAGGCTTTCTGCAGACTTTCCGTTAATTAGCTACTGCAGAGATTGGAAAACAAGATTTGGGGAATCAGATTTAGCCAATTCCACTAATTGTGATGTTAGCTGAAATTGGATTTCATTCCTGGTACATAGTTGCAGCAATTAAATTCTCCATATTAAAATATTTTTGGAAGATTATCAGTGCAACATAAGTCGCTCTTGCAAATGATCACACATAGGATATAAATGCATAGGTGAAGCTCTTGATGGAGCAAAACATTTCCTTTCCTCCCCTAAAATGTTGCATAGCTGTAGGGACCATGAGCAACGTCTCCCCATACGATGGGATGAGATGACCTGCTCCTGTGGAACACTGGCACTACAGTAGGAACGGTGGGACCGGGTTGGCACGAGGTATGGTCACCCAAGACGTGAATTTTCTGGATAGCAATGGATCAGCAGCTAAGCAGATGGTGAGTTCATCATCTAGCTGATGGGGGAACCAGTTATCTTAACCTTTATAGGAGGCAGCCGCTGCCTTTGCATCTGCACCCGAGCAGCACAGCACTCCTGCATTTCTTCATGTCACCTCCTCAGACAGCGGGCAGCTGCGGTCTGAACCAGGCGAGGATCTGGGGACAACTGCAGCAGTTTCGGTCCCGCCAGAGCATGGGAAGCCACCACAGTCCTGCACTGATAAATGATGCTCTTATTCACATAAGCAGTGCATACACTTCAGCATGATTTTATCTGGCTCTCCTCACAAGTGGAGGAAACGTCTGTTACACAATACACAAGTGCCATATATTCCTGCCGAGTACACGGTGCCCTGTCCTTTACAGATCTGATTATTCCTCATTTTATGGTAGTATAAGGCACTTCAAGCGCTGAGTCTTCCCTGAGGAATGTTACCGCTTGTTAGAAGTACATGACCCAACCAGCATTACAACAAAACACTTGGAAAATGTTACATCGGAGTCCTGTTAATGCACTCTATTGCACTTACAGGACATGACTGCATGTGGAAAATCTGATGACTTGCAAGCTTATTAATGTACTGAGGTCCCGGGTCGCTTTTATGAAAGATATGCCACAACTGAATTACCTGACCCAGGGCGATTCCTCAAAGTCCCTTTTGCACCAAACATTTGATTTATTTACAGGCAAATCAGACTCAAACATACTACCAGATTTCCACATCACTTTTGGAAACAGAGGCATTTTGACTGATGCGCTGCCTCAGAAAATGTTCATTTGGTTAAAAATAAGCTTTCCATGAAATACCATGCCAGAAAAAATGATCTCAGTACTTAGCATTAAATAGTCATTCCTTTAAAACGCATGGTATTCACAATTTCATTCACTTATAACAAATCAATGGTAACATGAATGCTAGTCTGACGCAAATCAGCATAACCTAATTTGTAACTGATCCTCATCCCTTTAAAAAAAAATGTAATTTAACCACACATGCTTCACTCTGGTTCAGAAATAGTGTTTTGTGGTGATTCAAAATGAACTAGGGAAATACTCTAAACACATGGGCCATCCCATCGATGGGAGCAGGATCATTCCCACCTTAAAATTAAGCAGAGGGGGAGCGCAGTGAGCTTGGGGGTCCCGGAGCCCAAGCGGGACCACCGGGAAGCGCCGGCTGCTCGTGGACGCTGCGGGTTGTCGCATCGCCCCCGCGACAGCCTCAGGGTCACAGCCCGTGGGTGCTCTCCCCTGGGAACCTCAATCACCTCCACAGTTACTGTATGCCCTGTTTTAAACACACTTTATGACCTAGTGCCCTGTGCAGGAGGGAGATGCGTTTTACCTCCCGCTCATGGTTTTCCAGCTGTTAGTAGTAGTGAAGAATGCTTAATAAATAATTTTGTCTTGGATCAGATTAACACCTCCTAGCAACATATCTTCCAAAATTAGTTTCAAGGAGAAAAAAATTAAAAAAACAGCCTTGTTTCCTATTAACACTTAACTGCTTTGTCTGCATGTGTAGTGGGAAGTGCTGCCCGTGGCACAGGCTGCCAGGCCTATTTAGAGTCTATTCCCTAATAATTTTTCCATTAGTCATTAAGCTGTGGCCTAAGTAAATCAACATTCAGCACTTTTCTCTCATGTTTTGATTTTGTTTATCTAAAACAACTATTGTGAGGGAAGCTTGACTGCCAGCTGCCGTGACTCAGCGTAGGTCAAGTGACAGCCGCGGAGATGCCCTCAACTCAGTTTGGGGTTAATTTCTTAGCTCTGCGTCAGCACCTACCTTGGGTGGTTGCTCTGTCAGGTTCCTCCATAATCTGCCAGCACTTTTGCTGATCTTTTCTATAATTTCTTCTGTCTGAAACCGGATTCAGCAAGAAAAACACCTCATGTATATCACGGTATCAGACTAAAGATGATGGGCACAGTCACTATTTTCCAGGGCTGTATGCGGGCACTTTGACTCCCAAAATAGCATGCTGGCGGTGAAACAGGCTGTAGTGCAGAAAGTTAAAGAGAATTTCAAGACAAGACTGTGCCTCAATAAATCAGTATTTTCTGAGACAATTTTATTCCATGCAAATTTCTTCCGTCAGCTCAAGAATCAATCTATTCCATATTATTTTCAACAACATTCAGCTTTAGAAGCAGAAATTATTCTAAGATGCATTGCAACACCCCTGGAACAGTGACTATTGAGACTGAACAAATCACCTTGTGATGTTCAAAAGTAGTGTGGGAATTCATCACAGCATTGATCTATATAGAAATTCAGTAATTCCACAATATAGTAAAATGCTTTAAAAAATATGGTGTGCCTCACTTGTTTGAGATGGGTCTTGTTCAAGTACCAGGACCAATATTTATATTCTTTCTTGCTTAAGAAAGATGTCATACTCGGAAGAAAATCTGTTCTACACACAGGCATGTGGACTTGTCGGCAAACACCGAGCACAGTCATATATGCTAATACGTTATTAATTTAATTGCTTGGGGGACAGTCAACTCAAGTCCATGCTATGTTTCAGTACGGAAATATCTTTCCTTACCTTGCAATGGGGAGCAGCCCGTATCCTACTCGCACACAGCGCTCCACCGCAGCATTCGGCTCAATTTGAGATCTCCTCTCCGATATCCGATGGCAAAAGAAGAGATCAGACGTGGGCTAGTTAAGGCAGCAGGCAATTAAAACCCAAAGCACTAACAAAACTGTACACCACTGTTTATAGCTGAGATCCAGGCATAAAGTTTAATGAGCCTCTTTGCTTTCGCACCCCCTGCCACTTGTTCCACGTCCTTTAGCTGCTCCTTCGCCTTGTAAACGCCAGGCCCAGAAAAGGGGAAGGTGGGTTGGAGGGGTGGGCAGAGCCCAGGCGTGTTATCCTGCCTCCCTCCTGCTTTGCTGCTCACAAGGGGCTGGGGGATACTCCAAGTACCAACAGGGACCAAGTTCAGGTGTCCATAACCATTAAATCGGCACCAAAGCGGCTGCAAATATGCGCGGAGAGAACAGGGTTCTTGCAGGAGCATCTGCACGTGAGGGACACGCCGTGAACCCGCTGGGCAAGCACTGAGCACCCTGGCATCATCCCAGCCCCAAGGAAAGCAGAACGCACTACAAGTGGCTTTCATCAACCCCTGGCATCTCCTCGGGGTCTTCTTCCAGCATGTCTGTGAGGCCGAGAAGTTTTATTTTCCTTAACTCACACAGGGAAACTGTGGCAACTGAGGGACTTGAGATCCCCTCTCTGTAACTCTAACTACTGCATTCACCTCCCTTTCACAGGATCCATGTGGAAACTGTGAGCGTCTATCACACCAGGAGGGTAGAGATGCCAGGAGGGTATAACCATCATATTCTACATCATATTTCATTCTTCCAATGCTAGAAATCTTAACTGTCACCTTCTGAAATTCACTAACGAATTTGAAAATATTCTCAAAATTATTTTGCTTTTTGGCACAGAAACCTGCCTCTGGCACTCTCGTCTGGCACAGCTTACTTTTATTCTGCATTTTGTACTTGAAATACTTTTCAAAGTGAGAGGAAAACTAGAAGACGGCTTTCTCTCTCACCTTGTTTTCTCACTGTTGTTTCTTCCTGCTTCCCCATCTTCATGCTTTCTCCTAGACTGCTCCCTTTTCCGTCAGGACTTCCCTGTAGGAACAGCTTCATTGCTTCATTTTCCTCCTCCAAACTCCACCTGAGAAGCTTGCTTTTGCCATAAACCCCAACAAAAGGAGATGACAGCCATAAAACAAAATGTGTTATGAA